TGGCAACGACTATTTTTTTGTTTCATTCTGGCAGTCAGTTACTGGAGGCTTTTAGTACCATTGTAAAGTATAATATATAATTTCCCTTCCATGATCCATTTTCTTTCCAATTGATCTGTACATATAGTATTCCCAAGGTAACTTGGCCTTAGATATCATTGTATCTGGAAAGTTTTTGTTAACATCTGTGTAAAGGTTTCCTTACTGGACATCAAGTTTATTTATTTCTTGTCTATTCTTGGGGAGGATATCTGACAAATGTCTTTTTAACAGCCTTTTAATATCTTAAAATATTCTGTTTTCCTTTTTTTTCTCTTTTCTCTTTTCTAGACTACACACACCCAATTCCTTCAACTTTTTTGTGATGGTTCATGTTTTCTGAACAGTTTTGTCTTTCTCTTTTCATTTCTTCAAATTGTCTGCTTCCTTGTTTTAAATAACTGAACTTAGTAGTTCTTAAGAAGTCCCAGGAGTGTTGATGAAATAATTAGCTTTGCTCTTTTTAATAAATCTAAGAATTTTTTTTGTAAGTTGCAGTACTGTCACACTCCTATTTAGCTTTGTGTGTGTCTTTAATTGTAGCTCCTTGCTCACATCTGAAAACAAGATGTGCTTAAAAAAAAAAAAAGTCAATTAGGAAATTATGGATTTTTTTTGTGTATTTAAGGAAAATGTTCTTTTTTTTTCATTATTATCAGACTCACTTATTTTTGCCTATTGTCATCACTGTGGTATCTAATTCATTGACTTATTTGTAGAGCATACTTTTGGGGCAAATAGAGGTTGTGGTTCTAATTTCTGTTCTCAGTTACACCAATGTGAAAGGTTTGAGACGGAGTTGGACCAGATTCTGATCGTTACTATGCTGATTAAAATAAGGATGCATCATGTGTCCAGAGGATCAGAGGACACATTGCCTGAATTCAGCAACAGAATAGGCTGATGAGCAACTAGGATATTCATCGTGGGTAGCTGTCGCAGTGCAGGGTGTGGTTCCCCTTGGCAGCTAAGCCAGTTTAAGTGCACGCATGGTGCCCCAGATAACAACAAGGAGTGGAGCCCTTGGGTGGGCTCACCCTGACAGGGAAGATCTCCTTGCCTGCCTGCCGCCAGCTGCGGGTGACATGGTGTCCCGAGCTCGCTGGGCTCTGCTGGGAGCCAATTTAACTTGTTTGAGTTAACTGTTTTAATGCCTTTAGGAAAATGTCTAGCAATAGCCTAGTACTGAGTTGGTTGTATTTGAAGAGTTTAGTGAAAGGTCCAGTGAACACCAAAGCAGGGTGGGAGCTCGGAAAGGGAACAGGGCCAGTAGGGCAGGCAGGGCACATGACTCACCCTTGGGCTGCACTTTTATGACAACTTACATTACAACAGCTTTCTGCCTCTCAGAACTAGGTGGTTAGAACAAGTTTGTGCCAGTATTCTGCATTATCAGAGCAATTAAAAGCAGCTCAAGTGGCATGGTGCGTTTTGCTCTGAGACTTTATGTTGAGAGAGAAGCAGTTAGATACAAATAACTTTATGATGTGTGTGAACTTATCTTGATTTATCTCATTTCAGGAGATGAGTCCTCTGTCTTTTTCATAAATAATCCATATTTCATACTTTTTAATAAACTATTAGATGAGAGGAAAAAAACTCTACTTCAAATATTATTCAAAACTAATGTTGACCGTGGCACAAGTAACACGAAGAAATACCATAGTAGTTGATGCTACTGCTACTCGGGATGCATCCTGAGTCCGAAGACTGCAGTAGGAGAAGGCCAACGTGAAATCCACAGGATCACAGAATGGGCCATCTGGCTGTCCTACAGGTGCAGGCTTAGAGCTCCTGAACTCTCCTGTGTATAAGAGATGCAAAGTACCTAAAATATGACAGTTGCTGTTAACCATATCCTAAAGGCCAGATCGCAAAAGCCAAGTAATGCGGCAAGATAAGCACGCCGCAGAAAGCCGATGGCGGTAACAAAGTTGTTTTCGATGGTTAGAGCAACGTAGCAGATCACCTTTTCTCCGTGGGAGAGCCCTGCCAACATCTCCAAATGGTTGACTTCAGACCAGGAGCCACGGCTTTAGATGGACTAATGAAGCCAGCCCCAATTTGCCAGGTCATCTAATGTGGGGAATTGGATGGATTTGGGGGGAACTCTTTCATGGGTTGTGGTAGGGAGAAGAAGGCAGGGAAAGGATGAGTGAGAGAGACTTTCTGGGAAGAGGCAGAAGGGGAACGCTGTCTGGTCTAGAGGATATTTCTGCAAAAGGGGAAGAGAGGATAAAGAAAAGCTGCTCATGGGAGGCAATATGTAATATTGATGTGAGAGTAAGGTGGGAAGAGAAGTGGATGGAGAAGAGTGCCTACAAACCGATGATTTATACTTGCTGCTTGATCTAAAAGGCCAGTACTGAAAAGGGCTCTGGTTGACAGACCAAGCTTGCATGTGGTTTGAACAGCTGGACGGCACCTCCTCCTTGCTCAGTTTGTTACATGCCTCAATTCCCAGGCCAAGCTACATCACTGAGAAAGACTGTTAGAGCTGTAGAAATTATTTGGCTTTTCAATTAGGCTTTTCCTGCAAGAGAGGTAGCTTTGGTGCGGTAATGTCTGTGTGTGCAGATGTTTCTTATCTTCTCTAACTCTTGGAGAGTTATTTGAAGGCAGACAGGATACCCTTATCTGGTGCTCTCCTTTTTTCAATTACTGCAAGATGTGCAACTTGTCACAAGAGGAAAGACTTATTTCCAGGAAAAGTAGTAGTTGAAAACGTCAATGAATATATTATTGGAGAGGGGGAAAAAAAAAAAAGTCCTCATAAAGTAACTTGTATCTTGTACTTTTATAGCAAGAAAGGAAGAATGAATGTGAAAGATCAACTAATGCAAATATCCAGCTATCTCTGGTACTTATTTAGGATGGGATGAATTAGTCTCTGAAATGCCTATGTCATCCCATTAACTATAGTGTATATATAGAACATGGCTTTCTGGTTAAAATACAAAGTTAGCTAAGATCAGATGAGATGACGTTGCCTCCTGCCCCCTGCTTTCTCTGTGGGCGATGCTTGGGGAGAGCCAGAGACTGAACAGGGCTCTTTGGAGCGTGTCCCTGCCGCTCTTCTGCGACGTTCAAGCTGTGTCGCAGCCCGCGCCGTCCAGGAGTGGGAGCAAACACAGGCTTGCACAGCTACACAGAGGGAGCCTGCAGCGTGAGCTGACTTCTCTGCAGTTGTTTATGACTTGTAGTGGTTTCAGGAACCCTTGTGTTATTAATGCTGCCTGGAATTCTTGGATGGTGCCGTTTCCGTCGCTTTGGGAGCCATTGTTCTCGTATGCCAAGTGCTGGGAAGCATTTGTCTGACACGGTGGCTGCACACAAATATTTTGTACAGAGACATGCTGCTTTAAAGAAAGGCTTTGATTTTCTTACGGTGTTTTTGAGCGCTGTCATTGTGTACGTCTTGCAAGGATTAATCAATAAGGTTTAATAAAAAGCTTTGGTTAGCGCTGCACCCCTCCTTCCTTAAGGAAGTTTGAACATTGCCAAGGTGCTGTGGGAGCTGTTGCTAGAGCCCACAGAAGCTTGTTAACATGTTAGCAGCAAACATAAGGCAGCACAAATAATCGACAATGCTATGATTAGAAACTGGTCAAGGCAGTTCATACATTTGCAGTGGATACACAAAAGCAGATCTTTCCCTCTTTCAGACACAGAAAACTCCTCTGGTACTAGCACTGGTTTCCTGCAGGTTGTTTTTAGCAGTGGCAGAATTATCAACCTTCACAGTGATAGTAAAAAACCTTTCAATGTTTCTGTAAAGTTGGGAATCAAAGTTTTTCCATGATGCATCTTGATAGACTGCATGGACAACAGTATTTAGAGATATTATTGGCTGTATCTCATCTCTGAGATGCAGAATATTATAGTTATTGAATTAGTGCCATTCATATAGATAATTGCATACTGTATTTGTACATACTGTATTGTCTAGTTTTATAGCTGGTGTGTTAGACCTGCTTACTAATCAAAAAAAACATAACTCCTCCCTGATAGATTAAATAATATTCTTTTCAGCTTACAGCTCAAGAAACTAAATGTAATTAAAGTGTAAACCAATGGTACTTAATTTTAGTTTTGAATTTTAAATAAGATTCAGGGCTCCAAGATTGCCTAAGCGGGCTTTTGAGCGAGTCTGTTTCATGCATCTTCTCCATTTGTGTAAATGTAGTTTCTCATTCCTTCAAGCCATGAATCCAAATTCATGGAGTTACAATAACTTTTTTTATTCATTTGCATAGAAATAGATAGTTCATAGGGCAAGTTTCAGTTCTGCTGGAATCCAGTCTTTCTACTATCTGCTACTGCTGTGTATTTGAGCGGATGTACAGGAACTGAATGTTTCTTTTGAATTATTTTGAAACATTGATAAAGACATTGTGAGTCTGAATAGTTGCTGTTGCTTCATGGTTTTCTTCTGTAAAATAAATATCAAAGCAATAGCTTTAGTTATTGTGTGCATGCCTGCCTCCTCCTCCTCACCTCAGAAGATCTCAGAGCCAGTGTAAGTGATGAAGTTATGATGCTCAGAGACATAATATTTATTTAGCGTGTGCAGTGAGTCTTCAGCTCTTACTCTTCTCACAAATGAGCTTGTTTTCAGGGCAGCTCCCTGGATGTTTTTGTACTTCTTGGAGGCAGGCTGGAGGAAGGGCTGCTAGATCACTCACATTGCACAGATTGTTGGAGGTCTGTGGAAGAGCGATGCAGGGCATTCTCATCTATTTTTCTTTTGTATTTTGCTTGAGTTAGAAACAAAATCTATGCTACTCGATCGATGTTGTTTCTAAGCCAGGCATAGCGGGTTTTGCATCGCCCCAATAGCATCCGCTTTCCTATCCAAAAGCCAGTTCCCGAGTAGAGGAGTTGATATGGAAATGGATGTGTCTGTACCTGGAGCTCACTTGGGGTCACTGCCTGTTGACCAAGTGTCCTTGCCTGCACAGTCCCCGATGCCTGGGAAGAAGCTTGACCTGACTTATGCGTGCTGCAAAACCCCTCCCTGCTGGGAAGCTGTTCAGAATTAAATCCTGAAGGAGCAGAGAGGACGAGCAATGGGAAAGAATAGTAAGTGTATTTTGTTTTCAAGACATGTAAGTTCTGATGAAAATTGGAATTGACATTTGCATGCATTTAATTAAGGGGTGGTGGTGGAAAGTAAGCTTTGTTTCTTACTGGCCTGGCTTGTGATGGTGTCATCATGGTCACACACATCGCCAGAACCAAATGTGTGACGCGAGGAGAGCGGGTGTGTGGCCCTCTGGATCTGTGGGATGTGGGAAGCAGGCACTTGCTGTTGTTCTCAGAGCTTGATGTCCTCAAAGTCTCATAGCACATCACCTATTTATATGGCTCTTACTGAGTTCCTAAGCCAGACCCCTCCTATCCATTCCTAAGTTGGAAGGAGTTAAAAAAAAGAGCCTCAGTACTACAGTATTCAAATTCTTAACTGGTATTTCCTTTCCATAGAATTTATCCTGCCCAACACCATACAGAACCCTCTTTTTTTTTTTTTTTTTTCTCTGTGTTTCCTTCTTCCTTACAAGAAAATTTGTGTGCTAGGCTTGATTAGTTAAAGCACTTGGGCTCTACTTGAGTGGGCTTTCCTGCCTTTTTCAATGGCAAATGAAGTGACTTGAGTGGAATCAGTGTTTAACCTGCTCCCAAGTGAATGCTCAGGTAATACTCTGTGCAGTCCTATTTTCTTTGCTTTCAGTGTTCTCAGGTGCATCAAGTGACTTAATAGTCAGCAGGCATGAGCAAAAGCTAGCCTGACAAGGAGCTACTTTCAGCATTTGCATATACTTAATGACTTTTAAATAGTCTAGCTAAGTAAATTTAGCAAAAAGTTTCCAGCAGATGGGGGATCCCTCCCCCTCGCCCCACTTGAAATGTTTTGTGTATTTAAGAATCACCTTTCCTCTTCTCCTGACAGTAATGGAAATTGTTTTTCCTCTGGCTAACTCTGCAGTCTGGCTGTCTAAAGGGGGACACCTGACCCTGGCAATGTTACCTTCATTATCATCACAGTCATTATGGTTCAGTAGTGTTAGTGACAGCATGTCATGATGTGTGACATTGCCTGTCAGCCCAAAGTGACTTACAGCAGAGCGCCTCAGTTGATCAACGGTGAAGGAAATCCACAGGATAGAAGCCAAATTCCTCTTGTGTCAGGGACTCGATAGACTCCTGAAGGGCTCATCCCTTCAGGTGGACATAGACAGTGTGAAGGCCTGGTAACCTTGTGGCAGCACCCGAACTTTGAGGATTTCCTTCTGGTCTCCAAGGAAAGGAGAAAGTCCACAAGCAAGGCTCCTCAGGCCTCCACTTTTCCAATTTTTTCAGGCAAAATTTTGTAACCTTTATGGCTACGTGTCACTACAGAGATAAATTCCTTCTTTGGAACAGATGTATGCAGGAAGAGGTCCTACGTGCTGAACAAATAGTTCACTGTTTGAAAGATTTTAATGAAAGGAATATTGCACTGGGACAGATCACTCTTGATCGTTTTCTTGGCTCTAAATTTCCCTAGATGTATGTTGCCTACAAAATTTATATCATCATTTTTCACTTTCCTTGTCAAGTTAAAACCAGCTTTTTTTTGCCCAAGCAATTTATTTTTGATCCATGGAAAAATAATGACCTTAGCTTTTTTTTTCTTTTAAATATATTGCTCACAAAAATAGTAGATACGAAGTCCATAATGTGTATTTTAAAATTATCCATTCCTGCCCCTACAAAAGCCCAATACCTTCATTAAGAAAGTAGTCAAAACAGATAAAAACAGTGCCTATTAAAACTCAGTGTGATTAGATTTGTGTGCTTACTTGATAAGCACAGGTTTCAAGGCGTTATTCCTGTTGCAGGTTAGGTAGCTGCATAGCTGTGAATTATAAATATTTCCACAACTGAGATTTGATTATGGGGCCCACTGAGACCTGCTGTCTTGGGCACCCTGCCAGTTGCCTGGGTGGTGGCTGGAAGTGCTTACACATCCATGGATGAAATAGTGCTGCCCTCAGCCACTGTGATCCCAGAGCTTTGTTTCAGGAATGAACTCTAGCAGAGGGCAGACTGCCACTGCTGGGGCCATTCAAGTCATACACTTTTTTTTTTTTTTCTCTCTAACTTGAGGAAAGGTGGGTTGTAAAATCTAGTTAATAATCACCGTGCTTTATTGGAGGAGTAGCATGAAAGACCTTTAAAAATCCTGTAATTCCAAATGTGGTGGAGGGTGGCCTCATACCACCCCCCTGCCTTCCCTTCTTTGTTAGATGATTCCTGCAAATGAAGAGGAAATAATTCTGACAATCATTTATTGAAGGTAGCTAATAAAACAATGGAAGGATGTAGGCTGATGCATAAATGGGATATTGTGACAGATGTAGATGATTATTAACCAGCTGATGTTTCCGCAAAGGCTTCTAATCATAAACACAGTGTAGAGCAGTGAATCTGGGTGTATTAATAGCAAAGGTTTTATGGAAAATCTGAGTACATGCTTTTACTTTAACAATCTATTTTTTTTCTTTTAATTGATAGAGTGTTAAGCTTTTGTACAAATAATTTGGAAAAGATTTAGTGTGTATGACATTAACTACATGGTACAGGCCAAAAAGACCATGTTGTAGAAGGATTTCTTGAAAGGGACTCTTATAATGATACTTTTTTAGAGAAATGACTGTTAGTCAAATGCTAAACTCAGTGATACAATATACCCCAGCGACTGTGGTAAGAGTAATATCTATTTATGTCTATACAACCTATGTTTTAATGCCTCTTTGTAGGAAAGAGGAAGATGATACTAGAGAGAGCTAATTATACTGTAAAAGTTGGGTGCCACACTTCTCATTTTTCTGTGACTTTCTATTGAATATCCTCTTAGCTTAAGCCTTGTACTGTCCTTCATTTTTTGGAGGGGAGGGGAAAGGCTTTCATGCTAGACTTTTACAGTAATCACTAGGTTAGATCTGAAATACTTTAAATGTACATCTTTATTTTGGAAGATCTGTAGAAATCTTGGCTGCTGCTTCTTGTTCTCTAAATGTCCAAAAGAAAATGATTAAACAAATTTCCCAAGTAGGACGGTGAAAGCTATATTTAACATTGTATAGCACAGCTCCTCAAATTTTATTTTGAGTCCTCATACTATTTACAAGCACAAACAAAATCTTTTACTTTATAGCAGCTGGTATTCTTAATCTGTAGAGTGATTGCTTGAAGTGGGAATAAAAAGGAGCGGAAGATACAGAGGAAGAGAAATACCATTATCTTATAAGATATTGGTTGATATTGGCTGAAGCTTATTATAACGAGCCATTATTAAAATAACATGTATTGACATTTGCATTGTCTTTTTAAATGTACTTCATATGCTTTTTGACAGGAAAGACCACATCTAAAAATTCAAAGAAAATGGAAAATAGCTTTAGCGTATTCCAAAGATACGAATACGAACTAGTATACCGCCCAATTACCTCTAAATTCAGCCCTCCTGGAATGTGGTATAAAATCTAAGCACTTAACCTGAAATAGCGACTCTTCAGCTGCTTCTAGAAATAATAATAATGTGAATAATCGGATGTATAAGGCATACAGAATATAGGTTGGGAAAACTTCATTACTCATTTAATTCCTCAGTTTGAGAAAGATACTAAGATTAATGGCTCTTAAAATATGATACTGACCTTTTCACAAACACATGTCAGGACTGGCACGCTTTGGACAGTCTGCTGTCCTTAGCCCACCAGAAGATATTCCTTCCTGCTGATGTGGATGGTCAAGAAATGTTAATATAAATTTCTGGCCGTCTACTCTTATAGTGTGCCTAGCATGCTCCAGTTTGCTCTATTTAGCAACTTGATTCACCCTATCTGTCCTAGGAGGTGGATTTCTTTGGTTAGAAACCCAAAAAGCACTTCTAATGCACTCGTGAACAGAAGAGAGGAAACTAGTTTTATTTCTCTCACCCAAGCTGCTGAACAACAGATTAAGGAGGAATAATCATGCAAAACAGAAGGGACCCAGCAGTATAAAACTAAGGCAGTTACTCATACTGCAAAACACACTTGGCATAACAGCATTGACAGGTATGCAGCAAAACAGTATTTTCTTTAATGGTGGCTGCTGTGCATTCTGTCTTCTAGTTCAGGCCTTGTTTCCTGGTGGCTAATTAGAGAAACTTTATCATTGGTAGTTTTACTTGTTTTCATTTTTGTTCCAATGCTGGTGTTTTGATACAGAAATCTCCTTAAATGAAACAATCTGTGCCAAGTGAAAACATTCAATTACTGGTGTTTTTTTGGTCTTTCTTCTGATAAACAGAGCCCTTCCTGACGGCACGGCAGTTCCTCAGGAATTCCTTTATGGTGAATTAGATGGGACAGTGATGAATAACTTGGGGCAAAGGACACTGAGCAGGGCACTGAATTGATTACATAAGCCCTCAGCTAACTTCTTTAGGTAATTTTGGATGCCCCCACTATTCCCCCAGGTATAGATGGGGCCTAATCTCACCCCCGGGGCCTGCTCTCGTCAATGTTTTCTGCCGCTCTGCACGCGGCGTGCCCGTGCGGTTGGAGAGCGCTACAGGGATGTGTGGGAGTTGTGAACAAGCCGGGATCCACAGCCATTGGCACCGCGGTGCTCTTGCCTTGGGGAGGGCTTGACCATAATCAGGGTGTCCTGGTGGCTTCACTGGCGCTGGCCCCTCCGGCCCCTGTCTGCTCCCCGCTGCTGCCAGAGCTGCGCCGTGGAGCTGCCCTGTGGCAAAGCAGGCGATTACCTCCGCTGTCCATTAGCTCCTAGGGGCTCCCCGTGGTGTTGCTGAGGGAGCTCACAGGTCACAGCATCCCGTGAGAGGCCTGGGGAGATCCCTCAGCCATATTTGCTGTTTGCAGGAAACCGGCCGTGTGCTCTGTTGTGGCATAGGAGATAGCAAAGCATCATAGTGTTGATTGTTTCTGTGCTCCCTGGATTAGTAGCAGCGTAGTGAGCTTGCTGCTGTGTTCAGCACAAGACTTGTCATTATCATATTGCTGTTACTTTTTTAATTTTTTTAACACAGT